CTCTGAAATAGCATTAACCTTTTAAAACCACTTTCCCATTGTAAATTCTGGTTGATTTGAAGCCTTTCTTACCTCTTTATCTCTCTTGGCATTACTTATTTAAGTTCACTCTACCCAAAGGTCATTTGTGCTTCTGTGTTGATCTCCTTTCTCTCTCTCTTCCCTTTTACCTAGTGAATGCTTGCATTTTATTGATAGACTTTCAGAGAGGGGGGATAGAATCTTTATTCATTTTGGTTTATCTTATATTATTAACCTTTTGAAATCTCTTGATGTTTGTTTATTGTTGTCCATGTTAGCACTTGCTGCTAATTCTGCCTCTACCATGCCTTTCATTGACCTATTTATTTTCACTTTAGATTAGAAGTTCTTAACCAGGTTCCAACCCCCCTTTTTTTTAAATTATGGTAACTGCATTTCAGTATCATTGGTTTCCTTTGTAACCCCATGTATTTTATTTTATGTGTTTAAAAACATTATTTTCAGAAGAAGTCCATAGGCTTCCCCAGACTGGCCAAGGGGTCCATGGGCTTTCCCAGACTGCCCAAGGAGTACATGACACACAAAAATGTTAAAGATTCTGTCCATTAGGTCATTGATAAGGATAGCATATGAGGCCAATGAAACACATTCCTTGGTCCTAAGTTTTCTTTTCTTATTAGGTGACTACAAGACATGACTTCTAGACCTAGTCATTTCATGATTTTATATGGAAATATTCAGTGTCTCAGTCTTTCTTATTTCCCTTCTATTTCCTCTGTTTGCTCTCCTCCCCTCAATGAAATACTGTCTATAGAACACAGTGCTTAACCAGAAATTGCCAGACCTAGTCTCATAACCAGGGTTAACTGGCCATTACTGTGCAGTCACTGGAGCGCATGCACCTTTTGCCTTGATTTCCTTATCTATAATTAAGGGTATTGTCCTCTTACAAAACTATCTTGGAGTCACATGTAAGAATTGATGTGAAAATGTTTAAACATGATTGTTTCTTCTCTGGTGTGTTTCTGACTAGATGTCTTTCTGTTTCTGAATTGAGTCAGGGATGACTTGCAATTCCCATAATATTAAGGAAACACTCCATATCCATGCAGATTTTTAGGCATTAGTTATTAGACACTTCTCCTAAAGCACCTAGCATGGGACCTTGCACAGAGCAGACATTTGATAACTACGTGTTGAATGAATGAACCATGTCTGCGTCAGCAAGAGCATCAACACTAATATGTCTAAAACTGGACTCACTTTTCCACCAAAACCTGTCTCTCCTTCATTATTTTGACTGATGGCATCACCTCTTTCCAGTAACCCAGACTAGAAATCTGAGTCATCTCTGATGCTTCCCTTTACTGGACACATTCAATCAATTGCAACACCTCATCAGTTCTGACATCTTCCCAATTTTCCATGTGCTTTCCATTTCCCATTTCAGACCCCCATTACCTCTCACCTGAGCTACTGTAACATCTTCCTTACTGGTCTCTCTGCTTTATCTCCAGTCCATTTTACAAAGGTTCTGGTTTGAGTTCACAAGGGCTAGTGTGATCACCAAAGAAGGAGGGCATGATGTACTCAACACCAACTTGGGAAGACTAGCGTATGCTCGTCAGCCTTAGGCTCACAGAACACTCTCTGTTAAAGGAGGATGATCAGTAGGAAAGCTTCTAGAATTTAAAGCTGAAGAGGCCTTAAGGATCATCTAGTCCAACCTGTTATTTTCCAGATTAGGAAACTGAGGCCTGGAGAAGAAGAAGTAACTTGCCGAAGATCATATAGGTAGTAAGGGCATTTGAAGTCAGATCATGAGTCCAAAACAAATTAACAGGATTCCAGAGCAAAAATTTTGTTGCTAGAACACTAATAATGTTTCCACCTGACCCCACCCAACCCAAAAAATCATATCAGGGTGCTTTTTCTTTTTTTGAAATTTTTTTTTTCTTTTTTAAGGCAATTGGGGTTAAGTGACTTGTCCAGGGTCACACAGCTAGTAAGTGTCAAGTGTTCGGTCTGAGGTCGGATTTGAACTCAGGTCTTCCTGACTTCAGGGCCGGTGCTCTATCAGCTGTGCCACCTAGCTGCCCTACGGTGCTTTTTCTTCAATGAGACCTTAAATCCTTAACTTGAATAGCAGTTGTAACTACAGATCTCCCTATTAATCAAAGAGTATTGGACTTGAAGTCAAGAGCCTTGAATTCTAATGTGACCTCTGGCACTTCCAGCCATGTGATCTTTGGCAAGTGAGTTCACTTGCCTGAGCCTCAGTTTCTTTATCTGTCTAATTGGGATAATAGCATACTATCTCCCTCATAGGGGTGTTGCAGAAAAAGGACGTATAGATATGTGATGGCATTTTTTCCCCAGATCTCCTGACTCTCCAATGATACAATGATGGGGAGACAGTCATTTAAGGAAGTGGAAATACATGAGTCAAGACCTTTACGTTTATGGTTCCACTGTACCTTCTTTAGTCATCTCGCTAGTAGGTACATGTTAAAGAAGGCGTCTCCTAAGCCCGTGTGACTTTAAGCTTTAAGGACCCTCACTTTTTTCTGCTTATCAAGTATCTAATAATAACTAGCCTTTACTTAGTGAGCTTAAGGTTTGCAAAGCACTCTTCATAACCATCCTGTGAGGTGATTGCCTGTATTATCCTTATTTTCCGACTAATGAAACTGAGACTCAAAGAAATTTACAACACCAAAAAAGCTCTTGCCCACAGTACCAAGTAAGGATGTGTCAAAGGTCACATTCAAACTCAGATCCTAAGACTCTAAGACTAGATTTCTTTCAACTGTGCCACGTGGCTTTGCAGACTTTCCCTGGATTCACATTCAACTTGATTAAATGGATTTTGGAAGAAAAAGGGATGAATGTTAAAGGAGATTGTGATGGAAAGCAACTTTCAATAATGAGCAGTTGTCTCCTTACCTGATTGGCATAGGAGAGTCAGGAAGCATACTGGCTAGTTGAACAATACCAGCATTCTCATTTGCTTTAGGGACTATGAGTGCCTGGTTATTCTTGGATGCCAAGTGACCCTGTTTCTAACTTGTTGTAGAAGCTGTGCAGAATAGCATCATGGGTAAGAGCTGGACTTACCAAGGAAGCTGATGATTTCTTACCTAGCTAGTTTTCCAACAAGTTGGCCTTGCCTCCATTTTGCTTTGGCGGTGAAGCCTGCTTTTCCCCCACTGGAATACTCCATGCATGCTTTGTTTTCTTTTTCTTTTCTTTCTTTCTCTGTCAACTGCTTTCTAGGAATAATCTCTGCCTGCTGAATCTATTCTCAGAGTAAACCTGGAGGGTGGTGATTGGTTTAAGTAAGGTCCTTTGACTGTAGAATTGGTGATGGGAATATGTATGGTCGTATTTACATAATACTTTCAGGTTTGAAAAATGCTTTGTATACATCATCTTATTTGATCTTTGCAATAATTAGGCAAGAAAGGTGCCATTATTTTTTCCCATTTTATAGCTGAGGAAACTGATTCTCAGAGAGGTAAATGGTTTGCCAGGTTTGTACAGCTGGTAAACATCAGAGGAAGAATTCTTATTTCAAGCCTAGCACTCTAGCCTATAGAAAAGTGTCTATAGACCAAGCAACCTCAATTTGCTACAAAAACACAAAGGCTTATGGGGGAAATTTGGCATCTAATGCTTATAGGCTATAACTGATACTAAAAAATAATGTTAGCTATTGTACAATGATTGAGAATAACTGAATGAATAACAGTATCAATTAATCCATGCAATGGAATACTATAATACAATCAAGATTGATAAGTCTGAGAAATAAGAATAATGAATAGCTAGTATTTCTATAACACTTTGAGCTTTGTAAAGGGCTGTGCAAATATTATCCTATCTGATCCTCACAACAAGCCTGTAAGGTAGGTATTATTATCACTCCCATTTTGCAGATGGGAAAATTAAACCTGAAATGGAGTGGGGAATTAAGTGAGTTACCCAGGGTCATACAACTGGTAAGTATCCAAGGCCAAATTTGAACTCAGGTTCACTGTACTACATGGCTGCCACCATATAAAAAATCTGAGATAATCTGGATGGGAATGATATAAAATAAAGCAGAAAATGAGGAACATAGATTATATTTTGACTCTATTAGATGAACATATATCCACAAATATATAGGGATACAGGAGAAGAAAATTAGGGGAATATAGCTGTTATGGATATTTTACATGTTGAAATCCATTCATTCAAATGTATAATTATATGGTATGTTTAATTTGTTGATCATAATCAAAAGATTACATATAACAATTTTGTTGGCCACAATCTTAACAGAAGCATTATATAGTAGTGGATAAAGGGAAGGGAATAAACGTTTATATTGTGCTTACTATGTGCCAGGCACTGTACTAGGCTTTTTTTTTTAAACAAAGATCTCATCTCAACAACTCTGCAAGGTAGGTGATAATATGATAGTTGAGGAAACTGAGGCAAATAGCAGTTAAGCAGTTAAGTGACTTGCCTAGAATTAGGAATTGCCACAGTGAACTCTAACATTACACACTGCAGAGAAGATGGGGACCTGAATTGGTAGAGGGAATTTCCTCCCCAGGGACTTCCCTATACCTATCTCTAATCATAAGAATGGCATTTATTACATATTCATTATTCTGAACATTAAGATGTTCAGAATAAATCATTGAAATGTTAGCTCCCCTGCCAGTAGACAGAGAGTTGTTACTCCACAGATGAGTCACGACAAATGAAAACTAGCTTTATTTCTGCGGTTTTATTACATTGGGAGGATTCAGGGGTGGTGCTCTTTGGCTATGTTTGTTCCTCCATGGCTCTCGTGGTAGAAGGCTCCAATATTCTGATTTGTTGGTTTCTGCAGCTGGGATGACAGCAGCTCCGTCAGCAGTGGAATCAGCGACACCATAGACAATCTCAGCACCGATGATATCAACACCAGTTCCTCCATCAGCTCCTATGCCAACACGCCAGCCTCCTCGAGGAAAAACTTAGATGTGCAGGTGAGTTAGCCCCAGGTGGAATGTGGAACCAGTCCCAAGCAGTCCTCTGGGAAAAGAGCAGCGGACCTGAAGGGAGGGAAGAAAAGGGCTGGGGCGGGGTGTGTTAGTGGACCTCCACCTCTGCTAAGAGGGCTTCTGGCCCCTTGCAGGCTCTTGCCAACTCTTAGCTAGGGCTCAAGAAAAAGAAGTCAAGTTCAATGTCTTGACATGACAACAGCTGTGGAAAGAAGACTAGAGTAGGAGCTTAATTAGGGTTACCTAATCTGGGTTAGGTAACCCTAAATTTTGGTCTGAGCTCTGATGTTACGTCTGTTTTGCTGAAGGCAAGTGATTTTTCTCTCCTCTTTTCTGAAACGAGGGGTTTGAGCCAACTGTCTCCCTTCTACCTTTAACATTTTGTGATTCTGGTAGGATGCTACCTCTTATTTGTTTCTGAAGTGAATACTTTCACTAAATTTTACCTCGTTTTACCTTAAAATGTTTTTTTATTATGCTATATTATAGAAATGCTTGTTTTATTCCATAAATTAAAAATAAAATAAACTTTTTTTTAAAGTATTCACAAAATCATAGAACTAGAAAGGATCACTGGAGCTCTTTCCAATCCCTAATTTTACAGATAAGAAAATTGAGGTCTATAGAATTGGAAAGTGGTTTGCCCAAGGCCACATAATTAATACGTATCAGAGCTGGGATTTGAACCTTGTTCTCTGTCTCTGAGGAGCAGTTAGGTGGCACAGTGGATAGAGTGCTGGACTTGGAATCAGGAAGACTCATCTTCCTGAGTTCAAATCTGGCCTCAGACACTAGCTATGTGACCCTGGGCAGGTCATTTAACTTTGTTTGCCTCAGTTTCCTCATCTGTAAAATGAGCTGGAGAAGGAAATGGCAAATTACTCCAGTGTCTTTGCCAAGAAAACCCCAAATGGCGTCACGAAGAGTCAGACACAGCTGAGCAACAATTCTGCCTCTAAATCTGATGCTCCATGATGCTATTCACCAAAAGAAACTGAGGCATGTACCACATAGTCATTGACTGGGTTAGGACCAAAACGCCAATCTCTTGACACAGGTTTCTAGTTTTTAGTCACATTGATGTGCCAGCATTGGTGTCTTTGTCCTGATTCATTTTCCTCCTTTCCTTTTCTCTCCCCCTGTCCCTTCTCCCTTCTCCTCTTCACTTTCCTCTCCAGTTTATTTTTGTGAGACCTTGTCTCCCTATCTCGCCCAAGGTGGAAGTGCCCAGTTCTGCTCCTGTTTGGGATGGAAGCTTTGTGTTTCTGACCTGGGCCCAATTCTTCCTTCCATCGGCAGCCTGGTGGCTCCCTACGCTCATGGGACTGACCATACTGCCAGTCTTGGTGTAAACACCTGATCAGCTTTAGCTCTGCTGTAGCTCAGCACTCTTGGGCACAAGTGATCCGTTAGCCTCAGACACGCCGGCCACAGAGACTGCAGGCCTGTGTTTCCACCCCCATCTTGTCCTGTGATTTCAAAGCCCCTCTCAATAATAATTTGTTCTTATTTACTGAACACATAGAACTGGTACTACAGTTGTGGAGGCTATTACTAGGCACGTGACTAATACCGAGCTAGGTAACACTTTGCAGAGGGGGCTTGAGGTAGGGCTGAGTTTTCTACCACCTTCTTATCTCTTCTATTTCCTTCTCACCCGACTCCACCAACTGTGTCCTCATTTTCTACAGGTAACCCTTCACTGAAAATCTCCTTGTTCTGAGTGCCCATATTCTTTGAGAATAGTGCTGAATAAAGGACGTGTGAGGGTTTACGTATGATTAAGTCTCTCAAAAATGTAAACAGTGACTGCCTAATGAGAGGTATTGGATATAGCCTCCAGGGCTGCCTGTCACTGCATGTGTTTTCATTTTGAGCAGTATTTGTGTGTATGTGCTATGTACGTATGTATTTTTCTTTAAGTCGTTACTGTACATTGTATACTCTGGAATACTGTCCAAGCACGGTCACCTCCCAATCAGGGAAATTAGAGAATTTAAATATTTCCACCCAATTAATGTCCTTAGCACAAACCATCCATTAAATGTTGCAAACTTCCTCTAGGTTTCCTTTCTTGCACAGACACTTAACTTCCCTGAGACACATCCCAGTCCCAAGGGGGAAAAAAAGTGCCTCAAGATAGTCCTGAGACAGCTGGTTTCAGAGCCAAAGGAATTTGGAATTATCAAGGCCTTTGACTGAGAGTAGCTGGTAATAAGCAGTAACTCTGCAGAGAAAGATTTCAGTGTGGGGTTTCTCTTTTGTTTACTTGTTACAAGATTGGAGCAAGGCCTGCTCTTAAATTGTGTATTGCGTGACTCCTGCAGTCTTTGTTCCTGGGCCGAGAAGGCCATGTTGGATTCTCTGTTCAGGATTTACAGAGTTAACATCTGGAGGGTTGTGGAAGGGATTTTTCCCTGTGACATATTCAAATCTAGTTACTGCTCAGAGATCTGTCTCTTTTCCTCCTTTCCTCCATGTTTAATTTCCTGTTGTTCATCTTGCAAGCTTCGCATCATCAGAAATTTTGGAATTAAAGCTGTTAACCAAAAAAAAAAAAAGTAAAGATTTTTAAAAGAATGATTTCCCAGTTACTTCCCTAACCAGGGAGTATCTTAAAACATCTGATTTCAGAAGAACTTGTAAAAATATATATAAATAAATAAATCAAGAAAGAAAGAAAGAAAGAAAGGAAAGAAAGAAAGAAAGAAAGAAAGAAAGAAAGAAAGAAAGAAAGAAAGAAAGAAAGAAAGAAAGGAAGGAAGAAAGAAAGAAAGAAAGAAAGAAAGAAAGAAAGAAAGAAAGAAAGAAAGAAAAAGAAAGAAAGAAAGAAAGAAAGAAAGAAAGAAAGAAAGAAAGAAAGAAGAGAGAGAGAGAGAGAAAAAGAACTTGTAACCCACAACTCTCTCTTTCACATATTACACATATGAATGTTAAGGGCCATTACCTGACATCCCAGAAGGATGTGAGGTGACTGATAGAATGATAATGCAGTCATTTTTCTGAAACTACTCACCCTGAAATTTGGCACCTTCAGATTCTCAGTGATTTTTTTGAAACATAGGATATCAAATAGGAATACAGATCCTTATGTCAAAGGATGAAAAGATATGGGCACAGAGTAATGAAACAGTGAGAAACAGGATATGAATTCTGAAATCTTCCCTTTTGCAAAGGGAAGCAGAAGGAAGAGGAAAAGTAGGAAAAAAAAAGATACTTTGCCAAAAATATGGGGTGTTTATTGCTTTCAGAGCATCAAGAGTTGCTTCTTTAGCCATATTGGGGGAGGGGAGAATGGTAATAACTATGGGGTGGTAGCTTGAAGTTAATTATCAATGAGGGGATTAACTGCTTTCTAGATTATCTGCACCCCAACCTAGCTTCACCCTGGTATTCGATGATCAGTATTAACTTGGGGTAGATTAGGTCTGAATGTGTGTGTGTGTGTGTGTGTGTGTGTGTGTGTGTGTGTTATAGGATCATATCTGGAAAGGACCTTTGGAGCCACTTGCACAGTGGATAGAGTGCTGGACCTGGAGTCAGAAAGACCTGGGTTCAAATGTGGCCTCAGACACTTACTAGCTGTGTGACCCTGGGCAAGTCACTTCTCCCTGTTTGCTTCAGTTTCTTATCTGTAAAATGAGCTGGAGAAGGAAGTGATAAACCACTCCAGTATCTCTGCCAAGAAAACCCAAAACGGGGTCTCAAAGAGTGGGACTCGACTGAAACAACTGAATAACAACAAGCCATTTTCTAGAGGCAGCAGGGCATGATGGACAGTCACATGAGGATATTGGACTATGGAGACTTTAGCTCTAGTCCCTCCAGCTTCAGACAAATTGAGGTAACCCTAAATTCTGCTTTGAGCTCTGATGTTAATATCAGTTTTGCCTAAGGCAAGTGATTTTTGTCTCCTCTTCTCTGAAACGAGGGGTTTGAGTCAAATATCTCTTTTCTACTTTTAACATTTTGTGATTCTGGTAGGACACTACCTCATATTTGTTTCTGAAGTGCATTCTTTCACTAAATTTTGCCTCCTTTTACCTTAAATTGTTTTTTTATTATACTATATTATAGAAATGCTTGTTTTATTCCATAAATTAAAAGTAAAATAAACTTTTTTTAAAAAAATGTTCACAAAATCTCCTCTCATTTAGCAGATGAGGGAAACTGAGACCCAGAAATGTTATATGACTTGTCCAAGGTCGCACTGATAACAAGTGCCAGGGCATAATTTGAACTAAGATCCTCTGACCCTAAATTCAAGATGCTTTCCACTCTATATAATGCTCCAAAGGCTAGCATGGTGATATTTTTGCTCTTGTTTTTTTTTGGGGGGGCGCAGTTGGGGTTAAGTGACTTGCCCAGCGACACACAGCTAGTGTCAAGTGTTTGGTCTGAGTCTGGATTTGAACGCAGGTCCTCCTGACTTCAGGGCTGGTACTCTATCCACTGCACCACCTAGAGGCCCCCATGGTGATATTTTGGTAATGACACAAATGTTAACTATCTCTTTTACTGGTTGGGTCATTGTGCTGTTTCTTCCTCTGTAACATAGTGGATAGATAGACACTTGGCATTGGAGCCAGAAAGACTTAAGTTTGGTTTCTATCTCTGACCACATCACTTGCATGGCTCTGGGGAAAATCACAACATCTCAGCCTTAGGCAACTCTGTCATACTATAGGATATATACAAGGTCCCAAGCATGCACTGATAGAGGGAGTTGTTATATCTGTGAAATCAGAGGTCCATTCCCAACCTCTATCTTCTTTATTTTTGTTTCCCCTTTAATGTCTAACATAGCCCACATTTATCCTGTAAAGTTTTGCCGAATGAATGAAGTAGTGATCATGTTTGCACTTGGAATACTAAGGGTTGGGATATTGGGAAAATGAAGGAGCAGTATTCCCCAGCATCTGGCCACCTTACTCAGAAGGCCTTGTTCCCCTATTTGAATGATTAAGAGCTGATTAGAACCTTATTTCTACAATTTGTCTCTACAGATGCTACAAGGCCATTTGTGAAGGGGTTGGTGGGGAGTTCAGGATTTATTAAAAGTAGATAAATATCTCTGCCTCACCCACAATAATCGTATGAAGAATATCAGTTCCCTTGTGGTCTAAAAACTAGCATATATGTCTTTTTTATATAATAATATATTTTTTCCCAATTGCATGGAAAAACAATTTTAAACATTTTTTTTAAATTTTGAATTCAAAATTCTCTCCTTCTCCCTCCCTGAGACATTATGCAATTTGATATAGATTATATATAGCACATTCTTCTTAAAGTTTTATTTTTCTGTGCATTTGATTGCAGAAATTTGCATGTATTAACAGGGACTTAAAATCTGGATCACTGAATCAGATATTTAGAGCTGGAAGGGGCCTTAAAATCATCTTCTCCATCATTTTATAGGTGAGGACATTGAGGCAATGAAAGATGAAAGGTCTTACGCAAAGACCCTCAGTAACGGAGTCAGGACTAGAATGTAGGTTTCCTCGCACAGAGATCAGAGTTCTTTCCAGGATATATGAAAGAGCTTTTGAACAAACACAACACTAGGGTCTAGAGCCAGGGAAACCTGAGTTTGAATCTGACCTCAGGCACTTACTAGCTATGTGACCTTAGACAAGTCACATAACCTCAGTTTCCTCATCTATAAAATGACTATAATAATAGCACTCACCTCCCAGAGTTGTTGTGAGGATGAAATGAGATATTTATAAAGCCCTTAATGCAGTGCCTGGCACATAGTAGACACTATATAAATGTGAACTATTATTATTATATGAAAGAGGAAATAGACTTGTATTCAGCTGGGCCCCTAAAAGCAAAACTAAGGCCATTGGGTAGGAATTTTGGAGGTGGTATGGCCTAGAGAAAAGAACGCTAGGTTTAGCACTGGGGAATTGGGTTTTGAATCCTGGTCCTATACCTGTGAGACATTAGGTGAGCAATTTCTTCTTTCTGGGAATCATTTCCTCAGATGTAAAGAAAGGGGTCAGAAAGGATGACTTCTAGGAAACGTTTCAATTCATTGTCAGGGAAAGCTTCCTAACAATTAAATCTACGGGCACAAAAATGGAATGGACTCTACCTGAGGCGTTGGTGAATTCTGTGACATTAGAGGTCTTCAGTGGTGTAGTGGGAAGGCTGCTAGACATGGAATCAGAAAAGTTCTGGGTTCGAATCCTCCTTCTGACACTATGTTATCGTGGGCATGTCTCTCAAACTTTCTCCAAGTCCTAGTTTCTTCACCTATAAAAAATGGGGACAATAGTATTTGGACTACTGGTCTACTGCAAGGATTGAGTGACATAATATGTGTACAGAGCACTATAGAAATTTAATACAGAAATATTATTATATGTAATATAGTCATATTATATAATATTATATATGTAGCAGGTATTTTATATGCATGTTTGTTGTTGCCAAGGATGTGATAAATGAGATTGGAGAAGTACTGAGATTTCCAGCTCTAAAATTATTTGCATAATTAATACACTTGGGGATAGCTAGGTGGTATAGTGGATAGAGCTCTGGGCCTGGAATCAGGAAGACTCAGCTTCCTGAGTTCAAATCTGGCCTCAGACACTTACTAGCAGTATTATTCTGGGCAAGTCACTTACCCTGTTTGCCTCAGTTTCCTCATCCATAAAATGAACTGGAGAAGGAAATGGTAAACCACTCCAGTGTCTTTGCCAAGAAAACCCCAAATGGGGTTGTGAAGAATGGGACATGACTGAAACAACTGAAGGAAAAATTAACACAATTAGGCTAGCATGGAAGGATGTCAGCATTCATCCTGATGAAGACATTAAAAGTCGGTGATCCAGAAGTGAAAACTTGGAAACATCCCTCTTTCCATGGAAGTTTCCATTAGATCAACTGAAAGCTGGGATAGTGGTCTCCCATCTTTGAAATGGGAAAATCTTGTGACTGCATTCTACACATTCATTCCCCTTTCTGTTCCTCTTTCCTTGCATTTGCTGCCTTGAGGGCAGTCAGTGGGATCAGATTTCCTATTTTCTCCCCCACTGGTTTAGCCTCGAGCACATTCTAAGTGGCTCCTTCAGGGCATATTAGGAGATAAAATTAATCAGTAAACATTAATTGAGCTGCAGTTACTATATTCAAGGCCCCGTGATAGGTACTTTGGGGAATCCTCAAATGTGTAAGACTCAGTCCCCTGTGAAGTAGATGGAGCAGCAAGACATAGAGTGACACATAATTAACTGGACAAGGGATTTCATCCAAAGTGCCGAATGAGCCGTGCAGACTGTGAATGCGCAAAAAGTCTGACAAGGGACAGGGAGCCATGGCTGCAGATGAGCCTGAGCTGACTGTTGTAGGATCACAGGGAGTGAATATGCTTCTAGCCTTCTCGGTTGGCTCTTTTTGGGGGAGGAATGCATTCTGAACCACTCTCAAGGTTATAGGCACAATAATCTTACGTTGTCAGTCTTTTCAGGTAAAAACTTCTTTTTGAAGAGTTCTTTCCCCAAGCCCCATGGCCCTTTTTGAAGTATTACAAAGCCTTGAATTGGGGCATCGGATAGCCATGCCAGAAGTGATCCAATGTAGCTCTGTTATAGGGGGAAATAATAGAGTCCTCAGGCCTTACAAACTAGGATTTAAGTGGTCTCTGTAACTGTTCTGGGATATTATCGTGAGACCTGAGTTTGAATCCTCAGTTCGTACTTTGGCTAGCTATGTGACTCTGAGAAGGAAGTCACTTCCTTAAGCCTCGATTCATTTATTTGTGAAATGGGTTTGTAGTCCTAGTACTACTTTTTAACTTTTTTGGTGTGGAATTGTTGAAGGAAAGCCCTTTGTGACCTTAAAGCATCTTATGAATATGATATTCTTCTCACTCAGTGGAATGGATCCGGGATCCGGAATCTGGAGTCAGAGAATCTGGATTCAGATTTTGGCTCTGCTACTTACTACCGTGTGACCTTGGGCAAATCACTTAACCTCTCTGGGTCTTCATTTCTTCAAATATGAAGCAAGGAGCTTGGGCTAGATGACCTCAACGATCTCTTCCATTTTTAAATCTGAGATCTTATGTCCTCTTCATTGCAAAAGTGGGGAACCACATGGGTGGAATATTGCATATTCTACTGGAAGAGGTCGATACATTGTTCGGTTTTGCTGATTTTTTTTTCTATATTTAATCCTTGTTCTAAGGGGGTGGCTCACTGAGGAGGAAAAAAGATCTATTCTGTTATGGATGGTGTAAAAATTTTTTAAAAATCAGTTAAAAAATAGTAAGTTAGCAGCATATAAATGAAGCTTCAGTTTGAACTCTCCACCCGTCTGCTTTGATCATTCCCCTCTGCCTTTTAACATTTTGAGGGAAGTAGTATTTTGGGAATCATTCCTTTCAGCTCCTGTCTCTCTGGCATGTTAGGGTAAAGCTAGCAGCCCCTCAGCATGTCTCACTCCACGAGGAAGGCTGCAGCACTGTGCTGTATCTAGAAATGTAGCTGCCAGTCAAGTGATAGAGAATCCAGAGAACAAAGGGGAGCTGGCTGAGTATGTTTGAATACACGGAGATACTGGGACATGTGAACTTTGAGGATGGCAGCATGGAGAGGCAAATGGCTTGGACATTGAATGCATAGCGCATCCTTGGTGAATTACTTGGGCTCTTTTTTTTTTTAAATTTCTGGATCTCTTTTGCTACCTTCTCTTTCTCTTTCTCCTTTATACCTTACCCTTATTTTCCTCTCTCTCTTAATCCCCTTAGGCATCATCATGTTTTCTTCACCTTTCTTGAACCCAAAGAAGGCAGGGAATTTGATTAAGGAATTCAAAGCAAAAAGCCAAAACTATATCTTTTTTTGTAATGTTCAAGGAATAGTTATCAATCTCTTTCTTTTTTCCTTCCTTTTGCTGATTCAAAACAGCAATATTTTCACGACCAGGAATCTGGGGAGAACTAACTTGGGGTACTTTTTTCTTCAGACTGACACTGAGAAGCATTCGCAAGTGGAGCGGAATTCTCTTTGGTCTGGTGATGATATCAAGAAATCAGACGGGGGATCTGATAGCGGCATAAAGATGGAGCCTGGGTCCAAGTGGCGGCGGAATCCCTCCGATGTGTCTGATGAGTCTGACAAGAGCACCTCAGGGCGAAAGAACACAGTTATTTCCCAGACAGGCTCATGGCGGCGGGGCATGTCAGCCCAGGTTGGCATCACCATGCCAAGGACCAAGACTTCTGCCACAGCAGGCACACTGAAGACTCCAGGGACAGGTGAGGAAAAAATAGGAAACTGTTAAAGACAGGGATGGTGTGCCTTTGAAACCTAGAATCAGTAACTCTTGTCTAGGTCCTCATGGATTGCATTTTTTGTTTGTTTTTGCAGGGGGATAGAATATATAACATATGGTGCAAAAATTTGCAGTATATTTTCTAACAGTCTTTCAGAAACGTATCTATGAATGAATATGTGTGTTTATACATATGTATATGTGTATATGTATGCTTTTGTACACATACACATTCTTCACCTCAGCCTAATTGGAATAACTTGTGTGAGCCTATTAAACTATTAAAATATCTGTATCAGAAACACTAAATTATTTAAACTGTATCCCAAGTAAAGGCTACACTGGTGTCTCAAACTCATTATGCCTATGACATTTTATTATGAATGCTCTGGAAAATGTGCAGTAAGCAAGCAGTTTGTTGAAAGAAGTATGCCCTACAGAAATGCCAGGGCAACATTTTAGTTGGTGATGTTCTGGGTTCAAATCCTGGCTCTGCCACTTAATAACTGCATGACCTTGAGCAAGTTACTTAACCTTTCTGGATCACAGTATCCTCATCTGTAAAATGGGATGAGTGGATTAAATGACTTCAAAAGTTTCTTCTAATAATAGAATCCTAGTGAGGGGAGACATTTGGTTTCCAGATTTCAATTTAAGTGATCAGGTGGCTTTTCTTTACCCAAAGGGTTTTAAATGTTTGTGAAAAATAGGTTTTTGCTAATAGGCATAACACAATAGCAACAGACAAGATTATTTCCTTTAAAAACTGTTTCTTTTGCTTCTCAAAGGGAATTATCTTCCCATGGTAATATCATCTCTTCACAAGGAGGTGTTTCGTATATTGATTGTATTCCCCTGTGTCTTGACTTTGGAGTCTTAAACATTGATTTCTCTCTTAGGAAAAACAGATGATGCAAAGGTATCAGAGAAAGGAAGGCTTTCCCCTAAAACCACACAGGTGAAACGCTCTCCATCAGATGCAGGTCGCAGCAGTGGCGATGAATCCAAAAAGCCTCTTCCCAATAGCGCCAGGACGGCTACCACCAATACCAATGCCTTTGGGTTTAAGAAACAGAGTGGCTCCACCATTGGGCTGACCATGATTACAGCTAGCGGAGCCACCATCACCAGTAGATCAGCCACCCTGGGCAAGATTCCAAAGTCCTCTGGGCTGGTAGGGAGGTCCGCCAGTCGAAAGACAAGTATGGATGGGGCCCAGAACCAGGACGATGGCTACCTAGCCCTAAGCACAAGGACGAATCTTCAGTACAGGAGTCTGCCTCGTCCCAGTAAGTCCAGTAGCCGCAATGGGGCTGGTAATAGATCCAGCACCAGTAGCATAGATTCCAATGTGAGCAGCAAATCAGCAGGTCTGCCTGTGCCTAAACTGAGGGAGCCTTCCAAGGCAGCCTTGGGGAGCTCTCTGCCAGGACTCATCAATCAGACAGATAAAGAAAAGGGAATCTCCTCTGACAATGAGAGTGTAGCTTCCTGTAACTCGGTTAAAGTGAACCCAGCATCCCAGCCAACATCCAGTGTGGCTCCAGCCACCCACCCTCAAGGAGCCAAGTACCCAGATGTAGCATCTCCCACGCTGAGAAGGTAAGTTTGACTCTCGGTTTAAATTATGCTGACTGGAATGGAAATGATTGTCTTGGGCGGTTTGCATTCTGTTTTGTTAGTAATAGGCCAGCTATTTTCATCCACCTCTGTTTCTCACTTTTAAACAGGATAAGCCCTTGGGGCATTGCTGCTCTAAAACAAAGAAAACATTTAGCCTTAGACCATTTTGGTGTCCTGGGCTGCCGATTTTAAAAAATAGATATTTTCAAATAGGCAAAAGAGGAGTCCAGCCACTTTATATTGTACCTCAGGATTGGTTGCTAAATTTAGAACAATCTTCCCTTCTTTAATGATTGATAGAGTTTTCTCTGGTCCCATAAAATGGTCACATTTAAAAAACACCCCAAAAACAACCAGTCTGGTATGCTTGATGGAAACTGGTGGTTTGCTCAGAATTCTAATCGAGATACTAATGCAGCTGAGTCAATCCCTCTTCACTTTCTCTGCCCTACACACAGCACTGTTTTTTAAAAGGGTGAGAAGAGGCAAATGTGTTGTTTGATTAGAAGGGATTCTGGGAAAGGAGCCTTATTTCCTTTATGTCTTTCAAAGCCAATTTGCATCCCCATTTCCCACACTAGGGCAAAGGTTCTCTAGGGAGAGAGATGGTATGATTCCTTTATTTCTGTCTGGTCTCTATAAGATGTCACCATTCTAGTACTTTGGAGCCAGCACTGGGTTGTTTCCTTATTCTCCCATACCGTCATCATGCTGTAAGGGTAGGTGGGCAGGAGGTTGCCCCTCCTTCCAATCCTTCTCCTCATGTCTTCTGTGCTATCCACAGAGGTGAGACCCCACCATAGCAAATAAGGGCTGAAATTTATTTTTGATGAATAGGAACATTTGAAAGGACTTCCTAAATACCAATTTCCATGAAAGGTATAATGAAGCAATTCAACACTTACTCTTACTTGCCTAGACTTGACTATTAAAACTTCAAGAACTATTTTTTGAGCAGGGGAATCAAAGTTTGTACCCTTTGTTGTTCCAACATACTGCCTGGTAAATGAAACATTTCATTGCTTCTCACTTAATATATTATATGTAATATTCACTTTGTTTTGAAATTTCTTTTAGTAACTACAAAGGCATTTTCCTAGACCTATAGGCTCCTTTAATCGTAGACTTGAAAATGCATGGGGCTTCTTAGACACTACACTGAGTACCTTTCAACTAACTCTTGGAAAATTTTATATTTAATATCATTATTTTCCTATTTCCTAATTGATTAAACCCTCCATTCTCTGGTTGTCAAAAGATCCTGTATACTGAAAGCATTTCTCATCAGACGCCAGTTATCTCTTAGCTAAGAAGATAATGAAACATAATTTTATGGTAAATGAGATTAGTAGGACTGCATTGGATATAGAAACCAAAGTGACCTTAAAATCCTGTGGCTGATTTCAGGGGAAAACAGTGATCTGGTGTTCTTATAGCTTAGTTATTGCTCTCCCTGGAAGATTTTTAAATGCTTAGCTCCTACAAGTTAAGGTTTGATTATTTTTCCCCTACACACACAGACACACAGACACACACACACACACACACACACACACATATTTTTATAGGTGGGATATATTTCTTGCATTTATATGATGTGTGCTTTCCTTTGCAGTCAAAGGCAATGAATGCCATGTTTTTTTCTCCCATTCCATCCATTGCCAGCCTGACAGCACACAATTATGTGATAATTGAACGAGGTTGGGCATGTGATCTTTAGAAGAAGGAAGCCATCTGGTACCTGTGTGACTAGTAAGGGCTGTTGTCTACTTAATGCTCTCACAGTTGTTGTTTTGAGGCTCATACTATCCAATGTTAATGCCAGATGAGTGCTTCCTAGTCATTGGAGAGGCAGCAGGTGCCACAAAAACAAACATTATGAAAGATGGGCTTTCCAGGCTTCCAGGTGCAGGTGTAGGCAGTTAAGCCAATGTGTCCTAATTCTATGTACTGTGCATGAAGACTGGGGAAAACAAACTTCATCCAACAACCTAGAAAACCAAAATGATCATGACAAAATTTTTCAGTTCATCTAGTTAGAGTAATTTGTGTAGTTTTATTCTTCCTACTAGACCATGAGCTCCATGAGGGCAGCAATAGAATCTTCTGTATCTTTGTCTCCCCAGCATCTACAAAATACTCTGCTGCATTTTCATTGAATTACTGAAAGAGTGACAGGATGGGGATCCAATAATGAAAAGTATCGAATCAGACACTATCTTCATCCCACCTCCACTCCCTACCTCCTTTAGCTTAGAGCTAGAGTTAAGTCATTTTCATAGGACTTGGAGGATAGACCTGGGAAATACCCGGAAATGTAAGGTTAGCCATTTTGGTAAGATAGAAGGCATCCCCATTCTGCAGATTCTTACTATCTCCTTTCCCCCACCAATCTCTTTGAAAGCTCCTTGCCTTTGGCATTGAGCCCTCAATCCCCACAATGCTTTATCTCTTCACAGACTCTTTGGTGGAAAGCCTGCTAAACAAGTGTCCATCACCACAGCTGAAAGTATGAAAAATTCAGTGGTCATCTCTAATCCTCATGCTACTATGACCCAGCAAGGCAACTTAGAGTCCCCTTCTGGCAGTGGCATTCTGAGCAGCGGGAGCAGCAGCCCACTGTACAGTAAGAATGCTGACATGAACCAGTCTCCGTTAGCCTCTAGCCCCAGCTCAGCCCACTCTGCTCCTTCCAATAGTCTCACCTGGGGCACCAATGCTAGCAGCTCTTCGGCAGTGAGCAAAGACGGCCTTGGATACCAGTCCATTAGCAGCCTTCATACCAGCTGTGAATCCATTGACATCTCCCTCAGCAGCGGAGGGGGACTGAGTCACAATTCTTCCACTGGCTTGATCTCGTCCAAGGATGACTCCCTCACTCCCTTTATAAGAACCAACAGTGTTAAGACCACACTGTCAGAAAGGTTAGTGTTTCCATTCTGTTTGATTTATCATCATAAGTTATTTAGAGTAACAGCACCCTAAAAAAACAGGGAGATTATAGCAGGAGTCCCCAAAAGTGAATTAACTTTTAAAAGAAAAATTTTGATCTCTCTTTTCTGATCTATTGATACCGTTATAGCTTAGAAATAATACTAGGACTCAAACTGATTTCTCACCAGTTTGATATTACACTAAATGTGAAAATATGCTTTCTGCTGTCTTTTCGACTTTGGTCATCCTCAGTGCTCACAGCTGCTGGAAGACTTTGGTTTAATTCCTTCCCTTTGAAATGATATTCACCCTTTGAAATCCTTCTAACAGTCATTTTGTTCTCCCCTCCCACCCCCGATCAACTATTTTTTCTTCCCTCCCTCTCCTAATTCTGCCTCAAAGTAGTTTGTGTATTAAAGAGAACAGTTGTTCTCCTTAATAAGCTTCTGGGAAATTTTAGGGTAGTTCCCCAGGGTAGCTGGGTTGTTACAGTAGCAAGCAGATGGTAGGAGCCCTACTCGAAGGACTGCCTAGACTAGGAATTTGAAACTTAGAAATCCCGAGCTTCAGCTGGGCAGTGTGTTTCATTTTGATGTTGAGTCATGTCGCATTTCTCAAAGTGGGAGAAAAAAAAAAACTAACAGTAGCTTTTGGAAAACTAAAATGTTCTGATTACTGTGTTTAACAACTTCCCTTTCTTCAGCGTTCTTGGCTCTAATATTCCTTCTCTTGTTTTCTGTCTGATTGGACTTATTCTTCTAGCCCTCTCTCTTCCCCTGCTGCTAGCCCTAAGTTCTGCAGAAATACTTTACCCAGGAAACAGGACAGGTAAATGATGTTCCTTTCAGGCAGGTGACCACACAGGGCCTCCAGGTTTTTCTGTTCACTTATCTGAAGTCAGATGTTTGTTGAGGAGAGGCTGCTGGGTGGAGGCCCCTTCGCTTGTATTGTGGATTTGGTATCATTTGTGCTATTCAGACATGCCAGTGAGGGTCTGCTCCTTTGCTTTTTGAGAGCTGGAGGGAAGGTAGCAGGGATGGGAGACTCCCTTTCAAGTTCAAAAACCCTGCTCTTCTCAAATAGCCCAGGAGAAACTCTCGCTTGCATTTCAGCCTTCCTGTGGCATGCTATTTCTCCCTGCCCCCAAGCCCAGCCCACTCCACCTACCACCACCTGGCAGACCTCTCTCACCTTTATCTCTACCTCCCAATGCAATACCACAGTTTCTCCTGCTGTAAGTAAACAGGTCACTCTGATTTCACTTACCCTATCTTGGAGGTGGCTTTGTTTCCACGTACTCATTTTGCTTAATGATAGCAATAATTTTAAAAAAATGAATCTGAGAAGAACAGAGAAAATGAAGAGGGATAAACTGAGTTTTGCATGTAGCTTCCCCATGGCCCTTTTTCCAGTGGTAGACTTTATCCTTGATACAGGTGGAGGTGGACTTTATTTAATAGAATAAGTAGATGATGTTCTATTTTTAAAAAAAACAAAACACCACTCCCATTACCCCCTCCCCAATTTGCCACACTCATGAACCAGTGCTTCAAATACTTACCTTTTGAAAACAGCAATAATCCCTTGGCTTTATCACCTAGCAAGTTATAGCATGCTCAGCAGAGGCCTGGCTTTCAGTTCCTAGATACTACAGCAAGGGCTGCCGAGGTTGAGACAGATGGAATTCACTTAACTACAACTGAATTCCAAATATGCAGACTCCTACAAGCTTTTGACCTCTCAAAACTCTCTAAGCAGTCCCTTCCCCCAACTTCATCTCACACACCTCCAGCGTCTCCCCGCCTTCCTCTACCCCACCCCACCCCCCAGCATTTAAGAAGTAGGCCAAAGCTTGGGTGGGCTAGATAGAGGGGAGAATCTGGCATCCCTGCTCTCCAGTTAACTTTGGTAATGGTGACTCAGACTAAGGAGCCCATATTTCCAAATACATTGGCTGGTGGATCTCTCAGAGCCAAAGGACACCCTCGGTTTTGTGTGGAGTGGAGTGCTGGCTTTGGCCCCTGGGTGATGGCATGGTACCTAATGCATGGATAACTAAACGGGCCAGGGATCAGGTCATCTTCTGTATGTATATATGTATGTATTTTTGTACGTACATATTGATTGCATGCTCGCTTAGATAAAAGATCATTGTTGTTACTTTTTCCTCTAAAAAAATGTGATGTGGGTATGGATACCATTCTCTTCCTCCTGCTCCTTTAATCTTCCCCCCCTTGTGTTTCTCTGAAGTTTTTTTTTCTTTTAACTCTCCTACAGTGACCCGCACCTTGATAGGAACACTTTGCCTAAGAAAGGACTCAGGTATTGGTGTTTCCTCCTAGCGTACTGGGCTTTTGTGGTGGCTTGGGCACTTGGCTGTGTGTGTCTTTCTTGTGGCTGGCAGCAGGGTGGGCTAGGAGAGGGTCATCTGCTTCAACAGCTGGACTGTTTGGGCCAGGTTCCTCTGACCCTCCTGTCTTCACCTCCCCATCCAGTGGCTTGTTTGCTTGAGCAGGGGCTGTGGCTTTTGCAGACTAAATCTTGAAAAACTGGCAAGAGTGGGGAGCTGTGGCCTGCTGCTTTTGTGGCCAGGTTAATCAGCTCAGACAAATTTGCCATCATAGCACTGCTCACGGAAACTATTTTCCAAGAATAAAGGGCACGATTTATAGCATTTTCATTTACTTGCTAGGACAAGGTAAGAGAGGGCAAAAAACGAAACAAACAAAAAAAAAATTGGACTGTGTTGAGCACTGGATTTGGACTCAAGACCTCTCTGTGAGGCTACTTACAACTTGTGTGACCATGTGCAAGTCACTCAACCCCTGAGTCCTGATTTTCTCCTTGTAAAATGAGGAAGTTGGACCATGTGATTCTAAGGCCACTTCCCACTCTTAATCTATGATCTTGTAGTCTGTAGTCAGTTTTTTTTCTTCTTTCTCTCTCTCTCTTTCTTTTTTTGGCCAAATAAAAATGTTGCTAATAAGGAGTACTTTGCTGAATCTAGGATATCCTGACTGAAAATTGAGATCAGCTTTTAGCATGCCAAAAGCACGTACATCTGTTTCCTGGGGGAAAACTTGGAAAACACCCACCAGAAAGGATTTTCCTCTCTATTCGGACCAAGTGGGTGGTTTTGGCTCATTAGCAAGGCAAGCCTTGGCTAAATGAAATGCTATAAGTCAATCCTGCTTATGCTTTGGGGGGTCACTTTGCCCACTTGAGAGGTTTTGACTTCCTTGCCCTCCTTCTAGGATTCCCACTTCATAGCGGCTGGTACCATTTTTCCTGCTCTCTAAATGCCTTATTCTTTGTAGCAGGTGGTTCACCCAGCACTGGGTATGAACCGCTTGGTCACACATGGGACGTGGAATGGAATGTTTCATTGCTGTCATGTGTATGTGTGTTTAATAACCTATAATTTTTAAGGCTAAAACATATTGACTTGCAAAGTAAGGTAGGTAGCAATACTTCCTTCCAACGGGGGCTTAAAATAAAGCAGATTCTAGGCATATAGAATATGCTGGGAGGAAAAAAAAACCCAACAATCTGATGTAGCTCATCTTTCCATAATGCTTTAAAGGTTAGCAAAGTGTTTTATGTACGTCGCTTCATCTGATCCTCAATGCAACTCTGTGTGGGATAGATTTTATTATTATTATCCCTTGTTCAGGTCTGAGGAATTTGTGACTCAGAGACCTTAAATGACTTCCCCAGAGTCCCACAGCTAACAAGTATCAGAGTCTGGACCCAAAACCCAGGTCTCTAATTCTCAGTCCAACCTTCTCTCCAGTAATCCTCACTTCTCATTCTAGAGATCTTAAGGAGCTCAACCTGGTAGCCCTTAAGTGTGAGCCCCTAAAACCTTTCTTCACATCTGAGCATTTATTAGGCCGTATTCTGTTCAGGGTATTTGTCAACAGACAGTTTGGATATTTAAATGGCAACCAAAGTTAATTTAAGTTTGACTTTGATATACTATTTGTAGCCCTGGAGGACATTCACCTCTCTAAACAGTAGCATGTTGAAGTATTGTGTGTGTGTAAATTTGGTGGTGGTGGTGGTGGGATTCCTTTCCATTGAACTTGCAGCCCTGCTTCTAATTGGTTTTAAGCAGATCTGAACCAGGAATAGGCCCTAGTACTCTTCATGCTAAAATTAAACAAATGTTGTCATTGTTTTGGAGGCAGTTTCATATGCCGATGTGACCCTGCAAAGATAGGAGCAAATCAAATCCTACAAAATATTCATACCCAAGAACCCCGGCTGCATGAAGGAAAATGAAGGCAAAGTCTTTTGTAATGTGAATGAGCACACCTCCCCCACGAATATATTTTATACATTCCTATTTCTGAGTAGTAAAATTCATATAGTGGAACATACCTGGAGTCTGAAGTACTGGGCTATGTAAGCACTTAAAATTGCTGAAATAAACCACAGAGTAAACGAGGGTCTAGATTCTAGAGGCCTTGGGTGCAGCCTTTTGACTGAGTCCAAGTTTTACAGAACAAATCCTTATATTAAGGGGAAGTTTGAATTCAGTCAAAGGGCCACACTTGAGGACCTAGAGGGCCACATGTGGCCTTCAGGCCACAGCTTCCCCACCCCTACTCTAGAAGGTATAGAAAAACTTCCAAGGTTCCACCTCCCTCTAAGAATCTCTGATTTAATTAACACTGGATTGCATTGATTCCCCCAAACCTGTGTATCTTTGGATCTTTCAAAGATCTCCATCTGACTTTATAGCTCATGTTTCATATGTTGCCTAATATGCTGTGGATCATATGTTATTGTCCAGAGTATATAAGTGATCAGATTTTACTTTTCAAGACTACAACTTATGTTTGTTTCC